TACAGTGGATGGATGGATGGATGGATGATACAGTGGATGGATGGATGATACAGTGGATGGATGAATGGATGGATGGATGATACAGCGGATGGATTGATACTGGTCATAAAATTAGAATATCATGTAAAAATGTATTTATTTCATTAATTCCATTAAAAAAGTGAAACTTGTATATTATATTCATTCATTACACACAGACTGATATATTTCAAATGTTTATTGCTTTTAATGTTGATGATTATAACTGACAACTAATGAAAACCCCAAATTCATTATTTCAGAAAATTAGAATATTACTTAAGACCAATAAAAAAGATTTAGAAATGATGGCCAACAGAAAAGTCTGAACTTGAAAAGTCTGAACATTTACAGCACTCAGTACTTAGTTGGGACTCCTTTAGCCTGGATTACTGCAGCAATGCAGCGTGGCATGGAGTCAATCAGTCTGTGGCACTGCTCAGGTGTTATGAGAGCCCAGGTTGCTCTGATAGTGGCCTTCGGCTCTTCTGAATTGTTGGGTCTGGTGTATCACATCTTCCTCTTCACAATACCTCAGATTTTCTATGGGGTTAAGGTCAGGCGAGTTTGCTGGCCAATTAAGAACAGGGATTCCATGATCCTTAAACCAGGTAACTTTGGCACTGTGTGCAGGTGCAAGTCCTGTTGGAAAATTAAATCTGCATCTCCATAAAGTTGGTCAACAGCAGGAAGCATGAAGTGCTCTAAAACTTCCTGGTAGACAGCTGCGTTGACCTTGGACTTCAGAAAACAGAGTGGACCAACACCAGCAGATGACATAGCACCTCAAACCATCACTGACTGTGGAAACTTGACACCGGACCTCAAGCAACGCAGATTCTGTGCCTCTCCTTTCTTCCTCCCGACTCTGGGACCTTGCGTTCCAAAGGAAATGCAAAATTGACTTTCATCAGAGAACACAATTTTGGACCACTCAGCACCAGTCCCAGGCGAGACGCTTCTGATGCTGTCTCTTGTTCAAAAGTGACTTGACACAAGGAATGCAACAGCTGAAACCCATGTCTTGCATACATCTGTGCGTGGTGGTTCTTGAAGCACTGACTCCAGCTGCTGTCCACTCTTTGTGAATCTCCCCCACATTTTGGAATGGGTTTGGTTTTACCATCCTCTCCAGTGTGCGGTTATCCCTATTGCTTGTACACTTTTTATCTACCACATCGTTTCCTTCCCCTCACCTCTCTATTAATGTGCTTGGACACAGAGCTCTGTGAACAGCCAGCCTCTTTAGTAATGACCTTTTGTGTCTTGCCCTCCTTGTGCAAAGTGTCAATGGTCGTCTTTAGGACAACTGTCACGTCAGCAGTCTTCCCCGTGATTGTGTAGCCTACAGAACTAGACTGAGACCATTTAAAGGCCTTTGCAGGTGTTTTGAGTTAATTGGCAGATTAGAGTGTGGCACCAGGTGTCTTCAATGTTGAACCTGTTCACAATATTTTAATTTTCTGAGATACTTAATTTAGGGTTTTCATTAGTTATCTGTTATAATCATCAACATTAAAATAAATAAACATTTGAAATATATCAGTCTGTGTGTAATGAATGAATATAATATACAAGTTTCACTTTTTGAATGGAATTACTGAAATCAATTTTTTTATGATATTGTAATTTTATGACGTGTTTGTGTGTGTGTCTCTCGTGTTTTTGTTTTTTTCTGTTTAAAATTTGACACAATGTACAGGATTAAGAGTTTCAGTTTATCCTTGGTGCATTATAGGTTAAAAAGAAAGCACAGTTGTTGTCAGTGACCAAACACCTTGATCTTTTTTCAGCTTTTCACCTTGTTGTAAAAGTTTAACAAAACTAAGTTTCTCAGGCTTCGTTTCTAAGCAATACTGTGTGTGTTCATGAATAAATTACCAACTGTTTCTGAGAAACTCAAAATTCATCTAAGCTAACTGGTGGATGTTCTGTCCTTTGGGTCATGAATCTGAACTGTCTAGCAGTGGGATTTCCTTTAAAATACACGATGAAAGCAAAAGCTGCCTCATTTTACAACAAAATCAATAATTCAGGAGCCCCTTCGCCTTCACTGTTGTCCTGAGAAATCTGCCAGAGGAGGCTGACTCCATATGAACCACTGGCTCGTTTCCTCCACCGCTTCACTGTCACCTTTCAGAAATTGTGCCATACGGTTAGAAAACTCACCACCGTGTATTGCATTTCCTCGTCCTCAGCACGGATCGGAAAATTAAAACCCACAACACAAAACCGCTGCTCACACCTGCAGTCTTTTTGTCTCTTCTCTCTTATCTTTGCTCTCGTTCCGACTTTGTCTCAGTTGATCTTCCGCATTCCTCCTTGTCAGCTGTGATTCTCTCAGTGATGCAATTCTTTTTTTTTTGTCTTTTCTTGAGTGGATGCTCCCTCCTCGACACACAGCTCATAGCTGCTGCCGACAGTTAGCTGCTGGTGCCTGAGACGTGCAGACATACAGACACAGAATCATGCAAATGCTTCTTCTCTACCAAAACAGCTCCATTTCATACTCACTTTGAAGCTTCCATGCTGGAAGAAATGATGAACTGCTGCCTGAGGTGAGCACTGAAACGCTTGTTTTCAGCCTTTTTTTGTGTGGGGGAAGCAGAATGTAACCGGTTTTGAAGTTTGCTGTCATGGCTGTGAAACGTGTCTGTTTTATAGTTGAGATGTTTTTACAATACTGTAGCAGATTTGGTCATTTAGCATTCTTTTAGTTCTTTGTTTTTTTTTGGTAGATAATCTGTTTTTTCTTCAACTTAAGGACACAAGCTCCTACAGCTCTTTGATGTGACTGTCTTATTTTTCAAAAAGCTGTCAGTATAAAAAAAAAAAATCTTTGCGTAGAAGTAAATAATGCATAAGCTCGGCTGTCTTTTTGCAGTTTAGGCTGTTAGGAAGTACAAAATGGAGCAGTCTCAATCAGTGTTTTGAAGAAATCATATTGAATAGCTCAAGTTTGCTAATTTAGTTCAGTTGAGCCATGACTTTGAAATAAGCATTGTTGTCCATGTTAATCTGAGGTCTAAGTGTTTTTCATTCCATTGTTTTTGTAGTTAAACAGATTTTATGTATTATTTTTAAAAGCTGACATATGATGAAAGATGTTTCCAGCAGAGCATTTGGAGAATTTGGTTGCTCGTGAGCCATGGGTACTGTGTTGGTGTAAATATTTATTTTTCTTTGATTCTGTCACATGGGATGTCAGGGAACCAGAGGAAAAAAGTGTGAATATACTGTTTTTGTGTATTAATGATTCTTGAAATATGCCTGGAATAAAAGATTGCTCCCACAGCCAGCTGACCTTAAAAAACAAATAAAATACAACTCGGTTAGTTTTATGGATGTGGTAGTAGCTGGAATCAGTTACAACACGTACACTGAACGTGACATTTCATGATCGCGAATCATCGATTTAGCAAAAAAAACCTGCAACATGTTCCTTTTTCTCCGTAAGAAGATCTTGGTCCAACGCTGTAGCATGATAGGCAGCAGCAATATATGTTCAGGGAATTTTAGGTTTTTATTTCCATAGTTTAAATGTTTATCTTTAGGTGAATTGTGAATGAATTATAGTTTTTTGAGATTTGCAAATCATTGCATTTTGTTTTTTGATTTACATTTTACAGAGTCCCAACTTTGTCAGAATTGTATTTTTGCAAGACGTAGACAAAAATCAAAAAAGCTGTCTGTCCATATATATTATGTGATTGCAGCAAAACAAACATTTAACAAACACTTCCAAAGAATGGCAATCGGTAAGGTCACACAATATTAACATGATGTTGTAATATTGCAATTTGGATAACGATTAAAACAGTGTTTCAATAAACCCACATTTTCCTCACTTGTCTTCGTCATCAAGCGTCTCGGTATGTTTCATGTGCTGCAGCATTTTGACCACCATCGTCTAAATGTCCTGGCTTGTGCTGTTTGGATGGCAAATCTATGTTCCACGTGCAGTTTGTCTACAATTCATTTAATATTTTGCTTTATTGAATGGTTGTCTGTCTTGTTATGTCTCGATATGTCCCTGTGATGGACACATGTCCTGTCCCCCGCCTCTTTCACAGCGACTGCTGAGATAGGCACCAGCTCCTGGCCACCCAGAGAC